TGATTGCTGGGAGCTGGGCACTCGCACTGCAGTCCTCCATGGACCAAGACCAGACCTGTGACAGGCAGCCATTAGCAGGGGAGGAGTAAGGACGGTGGTGTTCATGTTTAAAAGCACTGCAGCTGATGGTGCCAATGAGTATGGGTCTTAGAGACATGCCCACTGCTTGGCTTCAAATTCTAGTTCCATCCCATCCTATCTGTGACCAAGTCTCACTTTCCTAATCTGTAAGAGAGGCACAATAACTGTATGGCTCTCAATGTCGTGTGAAGATTAAATGATGAACCAGTTGCCAAGTGAGTTGATTCCAACTCAGGGTAACTCTATATGTTTCACAGAACTGTGTCCCATAGGGTTTTCAATGGCTGTTCTCTTTCAGAATGAGACGGATTTGAACCACCAACCTTTCATCCAAGGCACCTAAGGACTCCTTGGATTAAATGGTAAAATCCATATATATATGGCTTGGGCACTCTGTAAGCAAACAATTATTATTATATTATGTTTATTATATTATTATTATTTTATAATAATTATTATTCCCATCAAGTGTTACTATGACACTAGTACTGTGCTAAGCACTTGATATACCTTGCTTAGTTGAATCCTTGCACTCATACTGAGAGGTTAGGTGTCTTTTCTTTCTACAGATGAGAAACAGAAGCACAGAGAGGTTAAATAACTTGCCCAAGGTCGCCCAGGATTCTAACTTAGGTAGGATTCTGCGCCACTCCCCCCAGACATGTATTCCAGGCTAGTACCAATGTGAACATGTTATTAAATATTAACTAAATAATGTTGAACACACTGGAAAACAAAGCATGCACCTTAATGTCATAGCTTTTAAAAACCACAGGTTGTCTGCTGTTGTTACGTGCCGTCGAGTCAGACCTGACTCATAGCGACCCCTCCTTGGGTTTCTGAGGCGGTATCCCTATGGAAGTAGATTGCCCACAGGTTGTATAGTCATGAAAAATGAGATGTCCACATGGTACTTTTGAAAGAAAACATTCTCCTCTGGCGGGAGTACCTGAGTTCAGGTAAGAGGTGAGACCTGGACCGGGCACGCCTCCAGCTCTGCTGTGATGATTGGCTGGGTTATTAGCTGCCTCCTCTACATGTCCTCTCCTCTGAAGCCTGACACTGTCTTGAATAACTTACATTTTTCTACAACCCACCCAATGGCACCAACAAAGCACCTGTTTCTTAAAGTCACAAGGAGCACTACCTACCTTAAACCACCTGCCCCCCCCCCCAGTGCCTATTTACCTGGGGCGAGTCTAACCCTCCTCCTCATTCCCAGAAGGCGCTCTGGGAAACTGGGGTGTCACCTTGTGACAGCCTGGCCGGGAGCTGATCAGCATTACCCACTTGGCATTGCAGGATGCCATCCTCACCATCCTCAGATGCAAGGCTGTACTAACAAGGGGGCCGTGCGCTGGAAAGAGTCACAGACCTGCCTTACCATTTGTGGTGGCTCTGGTTTTTTTTTTTTTTTTTGGTCAGCAAATCCTCCTCTCCTCATCTTGCCACAAGAACAGATGGACTGAAGGATAAACACAAGGCTCTCAACTGTCCCAATGGACTCTCTTTTCCTGGTAACTACTGGAAAATGCGAACCAGGTATGCATTAGGCAGGTGACTTACAGGTAACGTAGCTAATGTTCAAAGCCAGGAAGAGGTGCCTCTGCAGTGACCTCCCAGAGCTATGTGCCACCTAAAGCAGAGAGAGGAGCCCCAGTGGTGCAGTGGTTAAGTGCTTAGCTGCTAATTAAAAGGTCAGTGGTTCAAAGCTACCAGCTGCTCTGTGGGAGAAAGCTACTGCAGTCCACTGCCATAGACTAGTCTTGGGAACCCTAAGGAGTTCTCCTCTCTCCTACAGGGTCACTATGAGTCACAATCAACTCAATGGCAACAGGATTGGTTTTGTTGGTTTAAGGCAGAGAACTTGGGCACACAGTGTTTGACTTATGGTTTAAGATTTATGATGATGGAGAAAGGATGCAATGGGAGAACAGCCGTGACTGACCCAGTTTGCTATGTCACGTGGGCACCTATGCAATGGGACTCACGAGACCACTTCAGATAGAGCAGGGAAGAACCAGACGCTCATCTGCCTGGTGCGGGTGGAACGAGGTCAGCGAGCAGCGAGGTGTCAGGGTACAAGGAATGAGTCCAGGTTCTGTTCATCACGGATCCCTGGGGGGCTGCTGGCCCTTGCTCTATGTTTATTAATTAAAAAAAAAAAAAATGCAGCGTGGCCAGCTTAGTTTTATTTAAGGCCTAATAAAGGGAAAAACTGTTTACATGGCACCCCTGGGCCTGACACTAAGCAGCTGAAGTTGGCAAGATCCTTCACTTTCAAAGGTGACACAAACCAGCAGCCCAGAGGCAAACTTCCCTTCAGAAGCACCACATCCCCAGGTGAAAGGGGCAGCGGGACGCACGGTTAAACAGAGACAAAGCCAGGGAAGAAGGTGAACTCCAGGACCCCCAAAATAAAAAGCCCATGCTGCATACGCGGCCGTGGGACTTGTTACCCAACGTGCTGTGGGTAGAGGGGAAGCCGTGGCCTGACTGTGCGTGTCGACAGCCCGGTTTTCTATAAATAACCCTGCTCGTTTTAATACTCTCCCTGCAGTACATCAAAGGAGGCCCAGGAAGGGCCAGAGTCTCGGGTAAGCTCCCAGGGTGGCATCTTCTCATCTGCCTGCTCCTGCCTGCCTTCCCGCTTAGGGGAGGGCTACAGGTTTCCCATCCAAGGTCTTGTCTCCAGCATGTTTCCTTGTCCTCTTCACCAGCCTGTCATACACCTCATGGCCACTTGAACAGCTTCCTATCTGCAGATGTGACTGCCCTGCATGGCTGTGGTGGCTTCACCGGCTGAGGCCGTGAGCAAATGCTGACATCTAATGTTACTGGGTGCTTACTACGCACTTGGAGCCCTGAGAGAGCGGTGTGCTTCCTCTCACGGGGACCACTGGTACCTCATTTCACAGAGGAGGAAACCAAGGCTCTGGTCAACTCATCTATCCAGCAGGGCCAGATCTGAACTCTTAACTGGCACCCTGCCCCGCTCCGCCACTTACGGAAGCCACACTGTGTGGCCGAGCTCACACCAGCTCACTTTAGGAAGCTGTCCTGGTTCCCTAGTGCCCCTCTGACACAATGTACCACAGATGGGACGGCTTAACAAACAGGACTTTATTCTCTTAGAGTTTGGAGGCTAGAAGTCCAAGTTCAAAGTGCCAGGCTCTAGGGGCTGGGTGAGAGCCCCTCGACCTTGGGCTTCAGCTCTGCCTCTTGCTCCTGGCCCACTGAAGCTAGAGGTATCCCTTCACTCACGCAGCTACTGGCTGCTGAGGCTAACAAGCCCAAGATCGACAAATAAAATGGCGCAGTCCTGATGTTACCAAACCACATGGCAGGCCATTAATTCAAGTCCGTTGAAAGTCCCAGGATCGGTGGAGCATGGCGGGCTGCTGAACGACACGGCCACATGCAGGGTCCAAGCGTGCCATAAGCTAGAGACTATCCCCAAGGCTTTTTCTTATATACAGGAAGCAGATCACATCCCAAAAGCAGCTACTCAGCTGGTTGTGGTAAATCCCACCATGGAGTAGCTTACCAATCTCACCATGGGGAATAACTACATCCAGCTGCCCAGCCACTCAACCAGACCTAGCCAAGCTGATACACAAACTTAACTACCACACTTGCCTTCTGTTCAACACAGAGCTCAGGTCTCAGAAAGGACAAGTCTCTTAGCCATGACTTTTCCAATCACGGTTTTTGACAACTCTCTCAACAACATAGGTAGTGTGGTCTAGTAGCAAGTTCAGGGTGTTGGAGGTAGTCAGCTCAATTCTGGCTATTTGACTACATAGCTACACGACCTTGGACAGATTAATCTTTCTCAGCTCACTTTCTCATCTACAAAGCAGGCGTTAACGTCACCTCTCTAGAGGAGTGCCATGAGGATGTAAGGATAACGGAGGGCTGGTTTCCCTTCCTTCCCCGCTTAGCCAGGACTCAGGAGGAAGCTCACTGGGAACCCTTGGCTTAGCAACACTGCGAACATGCACTTCCTCCCTGCACACAGCTCTCATGATCACCACGTACTCATCAAAACGGCCTTCCTGCTTCCCGTCACCACCATCAGATGCACCTGGCTGGCCTGGGTGGCAGCTGTGTCTGGAGGTCTTGCCTGAGACCACCACTGGCCAAGCAGAGTTCTTCCGGCCCCCAGGGTAAACACTTCTGGCTAATTCATTCTGACATGTTACTTATTACGTGCTGTCAGTTTGTCAACTTAAATTAACCGTGAAGATTGCAGAAATACGGAAAATGTTTGCCGGGGTGCTGCATGGAAACACAGCCTATGACCGACCGTGACCTTGTAAGACTGCATCAGCATGTGACTGTGGAGGCTCTAAGAACAGAAACAGTAACATAATGCTGTGTAACAGTTGGGGAATTGTGTTTCCTTTCTTCAATATTCTTTTAACATTGTTATCTTTCAATCTGCAAAGGGAACATTTTAAATCTGATGGTGAGGGTGCTGACTGCCAACAGCATGCCCACACCGAGGCTGCTTGCTGCCCTCACTCAGCTACAGCTCAGGGGGTGGGATCAGCCGCCCTGGCAGAGCAGGCCACACTGGGCTGACGGGCTGCTCAGGGACACCTTCCCTAGCGCAGCCGCCCCTTTTCCCTGAAGGAGGAAGCAGGCACCACTGCTTCCCCGACAGCGCCCTCCTGTGGCAGAGCCTATGGAGACAGGAGCAGACAAAGCAGCCACGCCAAACGCAGCAGCCACACCAACAAATCACCTTTGAGGCTCCGAGCTGAACATGGAAAGTTTTACAATGAGTCACACTGAACACTGACATGTCCTGAGTGGGCTGTGAAGCTACAAGGAAGCAGGAAGCCAAGGACGGGATCCATTGCAAGCAGGCAGGGCCCAGGGACCAAGCCCCACGCCAGGGAGAGGTGTGTAGCTCAGCGTGGCTTCTCAAAGAGGTACTCAAGGTCTGGGGCACGCAGTCTCTGCTCTTTGTTTTTGTTTTTGGCAAAGTCTCTCAGCAGTGCCAGGACTTCATTTTCAAATATTTCTGGGGCTGGTTTTGCTTCTGCAAGAGAAGAAGGGGCAGAAAGAACGATGTCACAGGCAGTCAGTGCTCAGTTACAAGGATCCTGAAACTAGGATGTGCAACTCTGGCCTTGGCCATGAATCACAGATGAATATATAATACAGACCTTCCACTCTTCCTCCAAAGCTATGTGAGGTCAGCCTACCCTAGGGGTCAGCAAACTACGGCGGCCTGTATTTGTAAATGGTTTTACTGGAACACAGTTATTCCCATGCATTTACACACTGGTAAATGGTGGCTTCTGTGCTATGACTTGAGAGTAGAGTAGCTGCTAGGGACCACATGGCAGCAAGCCTGAAATACTGACTCTCTAGCCCTTTACGAGCCCTGGCCTGCACGACCTTGGCTGTCCTGCTCTGCTCAGCAGTCGGCATTCTGGTTAACTCCCATGTTTTGTGCTTCCCTCTCTTGGTCCACACATTTCCAGAGGCAGAAGATCTACCTCTTCTATTGGATAGAGTTCCTCGGTTGTAAATGACAGAAACTCACTTCAATATAAACTTAAGCAAAAAAGAATTTGTTGGGAGGATATTAATGGCTCATGAAACTGATATGAGTCTGGAGAACCAGATTTGAAACGGACAGGTGACAAAGGCCCCAAGAGCAAAGCAATGAGAACCCCGTCTCGGCCAAGAGACAAGGGGTCTGGACAGTATGCTGGTCATTTCCCACTTTTCTATCCACCTTGAGACACTGAAGATTCAAATCCTAATAGCACAGTTATTGTGGCTAGTGTTTCTGTTCTACCTTCTAGTTTGTTGTATAGTGTCTGGGGTCTTAAAAACTTGCAAGTAGCCATCCAACGTACAACAATTGGTCTCTTTTCACTTGGAGCCACAGAGGAGGAAGGAGAGTCAGGACAGGAGGAGGACATGGCTAACTATTTCCATGAACAACTGCCTCCTTTGCCATGAGACCAGAAGAAATGATTGGAAAACAGCTACTGTTACCAAACACTTTGATCAAAGCTTCTACAGAAGAATCCTGATCAAAGAGGGGGGAAATGCAGAACAGAATTTCACATTCTGATGGAATCCAGACAACTTTCTGGAATCCCTGAGGATGGATGAACCTGCAAAACTAATGCTATGAGATAATCTTAAACCTTAAACAAAAAATATCACCCGAGGTCTTCTTTAAACCAGGTAACAGGTGAACTTAACTAGTAAAAACACTTGCCTTGAGCACTGCTCTTTTAAAGAACTACCTATACGGGATCTCACTGACAACAGCAACTTGAACACTTGGAGGGGAAGCGTAGAGGGCAGGGAGATTACACTGATGGGACAAGGACGGTTGGAAAATGAGGGTGAGAACGGCTGCACACCTGAAGAATGTCACTGATCTCAGTGAACTGGACACATAGAAACTGTTGAACTGGTGTATGTTCTGCTGTGTATATTTTCAGTAACAACAACAATTATAAATTATTAAAAAAAAAAAAAAAGACTCAAATTCTAAGCAAAGCCCTGGGTAAAGCTTAGCTAACGTGCTCTGGAATGACCCTTTAATCAAGACAGAAAACAAGCCTAGGAGAGGAAATTCCTCAGAACACAACCGGCACCTCCACTCAGCACAGGGCCTGGGGCTTGCTTTATTTGTACGATCAAGGAGAGGAAGGCGTCTCCCTGGGTGCATAGAGTTGTGGAGAGCACCCTAATAAGAAAAAGCCTGATAAACTACAAACTATAAACATGACAACTTTTCTTGAACTCCTCAGAGCTGAGGTCACGTAGTTACCCTTCAGGCCTAGAAGTGAACTCATTTCCATAGCTTCCAGCCAAACAACAGACAGACGTATAGGGTGAACATTTACACCAGGTAGATATGCTCCTTAGAATGAACAATCACGGGAAAACAGAAGGGCGGTGTTTGCACAGGGAGACAGCTCAGGGGGCAGAAGTACACAGGAAAGAAGGACACAGGGAAGAGGTAACTACAGGGAAGAAGTGGGAAGAGAGCTGTTACACTGTGGGGACTGCAGTCAAAGTCATGAAACAAAATGTGCATGAACTGCTGAATGGAAAATGAGTCTGCTCTGTAAACTTTCGCCCGAATCACAATAAAAATTCAAAAAAAAAAAAAAAAAAAAAAAAAGAGCTGAGGTCACACAGCTACCAAGCAGGAACTAGCCAGGAGCGCGTGCTCACCAGTGTCGGGGCACAGCAGGAAGAGCCCCCGGGCACCACACACATGGGGAAGAACTTGGCTGGAATGGTGAGTCAATGGCTAAAAGCCAAGTGTAAAGGCAGTGTGAAAGTAAAAGCCCTGGGAGCCACAGCCACGGGAGCTCGCCCGCTCACAGATTCCTCTCCGCAAACATGTTCTGGGTGCAGGGCAAGTGCAGGAGAGAGCCCCCCTCAGGGCAGTACATAGGACCGCAGCAGCAGGCAGCCCAGCCTAGCCCTTTTCTACAGCACAAGAGCCTCAAGAGGCCGGGGGAAGGTCAGCAATTCCTGTCTCGGGGCACAGGTGACAACCCATCTGGGCTGGTGGAAGGAAAGAGAAAAATCCTGCCCCCTGTGGGTGGGTCAGGAAACCGGCTTGAGCCCAGCTCCTCAGAGGTCCCCCAGATATGGAGCGGGGAGCTCTGGTGGCGTAATGCCTAAGGCACTTGACTGCTACCCAGAAGGCTAGAGGTTCAAACTCACCAGGCACTCCCCAGAAGGAAGGTTGGGCAATCTACTTCCGTAGTGATACCGCCTCAGAAACCCAAGGAGGGGTCTCTGTGAGTTGGATCCGACTTGATAGCAGTGAGGTGTTTTTTTTAGCTATGGAGGAGCAGCGCTGGTGGCGTAGTACCTAATTGGACTGCTAACCAGGAGGAGCAGCCCAGGGGGCACAACAGTTAAGCGCTCAAATGCTAACAGAAAAGGTGATGGTTAGAACCCACCTAATGGCTCTGTGGGAGAAAGACCTGGTGATTTGCTTCCCACACAGATGACGGCCTAGAAAACCCTACAGGGCAGTTCTACTCTGTCCCACAGGGTCACTGTGAGTCTGAACTGGCTCACTGGGAAAGTCCCCCTGCTGAGACCCAAGGCCATAGGCCTGCCTAAGACGGAGGTGGAACCGGGACGCCAGAACACCCTCCCAACCTGTACTCAGATGAAGTAGCCCTGAGCACAAAGGGACAGGAACCTACCACGGGGGGCCAACAAGGGCCTGGCGAGAGTCTGAGGCCCAGAAACAAAGGGAAGGCCTGTATCCAGAGAAACTGTCTCTCAAAAACATAGAGGAAATGAGACTATTACTAAAAAACAGAAGCTACAAGATGTATTCAAGGAGGGAATATTCTCCCATGGATCTAAATGAAATAACAGGGATCCCCAGAAAGGGTTAAAATGCAAGCAGCGCTGAAATGTGTTTTCTGCCATTCTTGCTTCAATCGCTCTGAAGATAACCGACTTTCCAGAGCGTAACAGGAGTGATGCATCTGGTCTCACGGCGTGGGCAACGGGGAAAGCATGACCACAATAGCAGAAAACGTGTGCGGGAGGACAGGGCATGCACGGAGACGCTCTGACACTGTACGTGAGCCGTGGAGCACTACCTGCAGGCACACGGAGATGACGAGAGAAGCGCAGTCTAAACCCCGGGACAATCGCTACCAAACAGCTACACAGAGAAGTGCAAGCAGCAACCAAGAGTGGAAAGAAAATAGTGAAAACACGACTCAATCCAAAACCACACAGAAGTAGAGGAAAAAGGAATGAAAAGTAGATGGAACAAACAGGAAACAAACCCAGAGACTGCAGTCCAACCACAGCCATAATTTAGTAAATGCACCAGTTAAAAGACAGACTATCTGATTGGTAAAAAAAAAAGAAGACCCAAATAACTATATGCTGTCTCTAAGAAACCTATTTAAAATACCAAGACCTTGACAGGCTGAATGTAAGAGGATGGTGTGGCGGTCAGACTTTTAAGACGGCCCCCAGTATTTCCCACGCCCCTGGTGTACATGCTTCATGTCCCAAGTCCCAGGATGTAAGTATGATGATTTTACTGCCATGATTAGGTTGCGATATGGCACAGTGGACCTTAAGACAGGGAAACTAGCCAGGTTGGCCTAACCTGACCCTATACCTCTTTAAAAGCAAACTGTTTCTCCAGGTGGCGGCAAAAGGGGAAATAAGAGAGAGGTGGGAGGGAGGGATTCGGCATGAGGGAGGATGTCAGTTGCTGAGGTGGAGGGACCAGGTGGCAAGGATCTGTGAGCGGCGTCCAGGAGCTGAGAGTGTGTGTCGGCTAGCAAGACAATAGAAAACTCAGTCTAAAAGTACGGGGAAAAGAAAAAAAAAGAATTCTGCCAGCAATAAAAATGAGCTCGGAAGTGAAGTGAATTCTCTCCCAGGGCCTCCAGAGAGGGACGCAGCCGGCAGACGCCTGGTTTCTGATTGTGAGACGTGAGCATGGCGCCTGATGTGCAGAACCATGGGCTAGTCCAAGGCTGCTCAACACTGCCAAGTTTCCAGTAACTTGTTACAGTAACACAGAAAATGAAGACAATGGAAAAACACACACCACGCAAACACTAATCAAAAGCAAGCTGGAGACACTTCCAAACATAGAACACGATCAACGAGAAAGATGGCATTATGTAACAATGCATCAAGAACATGCAACAATCCCAAACGTGTGTTCATGTGACAACAGAACTTCTAACTATGACAGACCTGAAGGGAACCACAAACCCCCAATTATCGTTGGAGGCTTCAATACTCTTCCCCTAGTAACTGACAGAACAATAACAGAATGTCGGTAAGCATGTAGAAGACATGAAGAAAAATAGCAACTGACTCGCCTCAGCTGACACGTATACAACACTCTACCACCCACAGTGCAGAACACACAGTACGTTCAAGTGCAAATGGAACGTTCATCAAGATACCCCACATTTCAGGCTGAAAAACAAACCCCAGCAAATTCAAAAAATTACACAATATACATGCTGTGATCACAATGAAATAAAACTG